TTCTCAGGACTACCTCCAAATGTTAGAGGGGCGGAGTCTGAGAGCACTTAAAATGATTGGTGTTTTTTGACCGGATATTTTTAGGGCGAATTTTATTTAATTAAACCCATCTTGTTTTTTTTCTATTTTCGAAATTTAGGACATTAGTGTAAAGACATCAGAAGTCAAAATTGGGAAACCTCAAAATTTTAGAAGTTCAGAAGTTGGAATTTCAGCAATTTCAGAATTTTTTTAAGATTGGTGTCTTTGACTTTATGAATTTTTACGAAATACGAATAAAAATTTTTCAGTTCCAGAGTTTTTTTGCGAACTTCTCGAAAGTTTTAAAATTTTGAAATTTCTGTTGGGGAAACACCATCTCAAGACAACTTGAAAATGTTCCCAACTAGAGTATTTTCTAGAAATTTTGTTTGGGTTTTTGGTCCCAACTTCTTATTCTCGTCAACCAAATCTAATTTTTATCCTTTGGACCTGTTTTTGAAGAAGGATGTTCTTATTCATTTTTTATGGAGTGATGGAAAATTATGTATACTGAACTGGCTAACAAACTTTTTTTTGGAAATTCCCAAAAATATATCTGAAGACTTGAAATCTAGAAAATTCGAAAATTTTATGTGATTTCCCCAAAAAGCAAAAAACAATCATCATGTTAATTATATGTATTTTTCCTAGAAATTTTTTCGAAACTTATGATTTATACATGATATAAAATTGTATAGAATCAAATAAACAATTTTCTCCAACAATCAAAAACCTAAAAATCAATTTTTCTAGATTATCTCAAAATTTCAAAGCAGATAAATATAGAAAAATCGTTGTTTCATCATCAACATTATTAGTTTTGAATAGAAGAAAGATGGAATGAGCCTAATTAGTTTTCTGTGGTCAAAAAATTGTGAATAAGGAAAACAAAAAAACGGTTAGATTATTCATATTTTCGGAAATGAAGAATTGAGAAAACGTCGTTAAATTTTTAATCATTTCTCCGAAATGACAATTCTGCAAATTTTTCTGTAAAATTGATGAATCAAGAAAGATACAAAGATTTTGGGAACTTAAAACAAGATTAAGCGACTGCCGCTTACCGTACTCTAATAGAATGGGCCCTTAAACTTTAGGCCATAGATCTTTTTTCTGTAAATGGTATCAAAAAATGGTCAACGGACAAAATTTTCATTATAATATCAGAAACATTTTACTAATTGATCACTTTTTGATATCTTTCACGGTAACCGCGGTAAATTGGCTCAAAGTTGAAATTCTAACCCTTTGTTTTATCAGAGGTTACGATAGCCCCGAATTATCTCGGTTCCTAGAAATATTTTTTTTCAAAATTCCGTTCTTTTTCTGATTGTTCTAGAAGAAATGAAACAATGGGAGAAAAGGGGGTTATCATTCATGCATATATGATGTATGTGTAATCTTGGAATCCTTTCCAGACCCTGCTCCGAAAAAGAACGAATGGTCTCATGGGACAATATTTTTGGAGGTTTTGCCTGAATCACAGATGTATACGTTTTTTAAAAAAAGTAGGAAAAAGTGCTAAAAGAAAGTCTTGGTTTTATTTTATTTTCTTGTTTATTTGAAGATCAGAAAACAAAAGAAACATCTTATAGGTGCTTATGGGATCATATGATCTTTCAGAAGAAATCTGATTGGGGAAAAGAAAAAATAGAAAAAGAAAAGTGTAAAATCTAGGACACCATCAATTTTAAATTTTGCTGTGGTTTTCGTTTTTTGATTTCAAACTTTTTGTGAAAAAAGGGACTTCTGAAGTTTTGAAATTTCAGACTTCAAGTTCCTGGAAATTTCTAAAAACGGCTCTCATGAAAGTTGAATGATGTTTTAATCATACTAAAACGTTTTACATACCTCAAAAAACTTTATGATTCAATTTTACTATTGGGTTCAGAAGATCAATTTTTGGATTTTCCATACATACCGCAAAACCTTTAATAAAAGGGCCCTCATACTGCCACGTTTGAGCTCAATTATCTCGGTACCTGTAAGCGATATCAAAAATGTGCATAATGATAAAATGTTTGTATAATTATGATAAACAATTTATCAGTTAACAACTTTTTCATATCTTCAGCAAGGATCGAGATGAATTGGCTCAAAGCTACAAGTTAGAGAACCCTTCTATTACAGGTTTAACGGAATTTTTTTTTGGAAAAATCAAAAAACCTAATAGTGACGAAATATAATTGAAATCTGATATTTCAAGATCCGAGTAGTCTTCCGGATACTGAATTATTCAAATTTGTTCCCCCGGAGAATGTGTATTTTGATTTTTTGAACACTTCGAAAAATTGCTCAGAAACTGTTTTTCGATTTACCAACTCGTGTGAGGAAAACCAGAAAACTTCGAGAAACAACGATTAGGGTACCAAAAAGAATAATGAGGGGGATAGAGAAAGAGGTGATGTGGGAAGTGAACTTTTCCAACTACTAATTTGCATATAGAGAAGTTTTTCGCTGTGCTCTTTTTCTTCATTTGGTGCTCATAAATCACCGGATCTAATGGAAGTCTGGGATCCCGAAAAAAAATAGGCGGTGTGCAAGAAAAAGTATATATAAACCCTGGGGAATATATCCAATATATTGGAGAAGGAAGTTTTTTGAGACACCTGAAAATTGGATTTATGAAAAAATGAGGGATGTGTTGAAAAACTGAGAAAAATACTTCTTATATACGTTTGGGAGAGATAAAAAGCCTTAAAAATGATATTGGCCCTTCTAAGATTCGAACCTATGGCCATTAGATCAACCGCCAAACTCACTAGCCACTAGGCCATCTGAACGCAAACATCACCGCTGGCCAGAAGCTACCACAGCTTTGATCAGCACCTGTGGTGATTATGGCCTTCCGGCTAGTAACTCTGGCTGCAAATCAAAGGATCCCAGGTTCAATTCCTATCAAATCTCGGCAGTTTTCTTTTGTATACCGTAAAACCTGTAATAGAAGGGCCCGCTAATTTCTAATTTTGAGCCCATATATCTCGATTCCTGTGAAAGATATCAAAAAGTGGTCAACCGATAAGTTGTTTATAATAATATCACCAATATTTTATCAGTTGACACATTTTTGATATCTTTCACCGGATTCGAGATAAATTGTCTTAAAGTTGACAGTGTGGGGCCCTTCTATTACAAGTTTTACGGTATTAAGATTTCCTAAATTTCAAAACCTTCTAGGAATAGTTTTTGAAAGGATGAGCAATCCGCAATGTGTCGAAGATTGATGTTTTTGGTGTGTATAAACGCCCACCTAGAAAGATAAATGAAAAGTCACAGGGGAAATAAAAAGAAAAAGAAACCAGATGTTTTCTTTTGTCTTTTTGGGGTATTCTTTGCTGCTGGATTGCTGGACATACATTTCCAATGATTACAGTGGCATTCCAGAAGAAAACAATAGAATGTTTGGGATAAAAAAGATGGAATAGGGGTAGGGGAGGGCAACAATCTAAACATAAATTATTCATTGAAACTTGTGTGCCAAATACTGGAAAAATAGGAGACAAGAGGACGGGGAGGAGAACCAATTTGCGTGCCAAGGGACCCTCTTTTTTCGAAATGGGGTCACACTGTCTGGAGTCGAGACTAATTGGATTATGACTAATTTTGGACTTTTTCAAGTGTTTTTAAATTTAGAGACAAAAAAACAATAAAAAAATCATGTTTTAAAGTTTTTGTGCTGAAAATTTTCAGAATTTTGGAATCCTTTTGTTCAGTACTATTGAGAAAGTTTTTGGTCTTCCGGGGAACAAATAAAATGGAAAAAAAACAGAAGAATGTTTTCAGAAAAAAAATTCTGTAACAAAACAATAGATTATATTTTATGAGTTTTGGAGAAAAAGTTTTTTCTGAAACGAAATTTTGAGATACCCCTCTAATAGAACGCCAACTGGATCGTCAAAATTGAGGTGAGAGATATCAAAAAGTGGTTAACTAATAAAATGTTGCTGATATCATGAACATTTCATTAGTTGACAACTTTTTGACATCTTCCAAAAAAAGTGAGATGCGTATGCTCAAAATAGGACGGCACGGGTGGCGTTCTTATAGCGTGTTTACGGTAGATTCAGTTTAAGAATTGGTTTTAGGATTACTGTAGTGTATGGAAACACTGAGGGAAATTCAAATCTGACAATGAACAGCCTTTAAAAATTTTTCGATTTTTAGAAAATGCAAAAATCGCATGAGAAATATTTTGCACAACAATTTTCGAAGACCAGGTGATTTTTGAAATCCTTTCCTTAGACCATCTGGTTCTTAAGATTGACCCCATGGGACCAAAGTGCTCTTTTCAAATTTTCAAAGTTTTCGTTTTCCTGAAATATTCCTTTTTCAAAACACCGAAAGAATATGCCCACGGGACCATTCATTCAAAATCGGTCCTCGAAATTTCTCGGACTTTTTGTCTAATAAATGGGGTCATAAGATTTTTTCGAAAAGATATGAATTGGGAAAATGTCTACGTAGTGAGAAAAAACGTTTTTCTTTGGCTAACCCAAAAAATGAATGGTCTAAAAAGATGAAATTGAAAATTTTCCATCTCCATAAAAAATAAGTGAATTTTCTTCGGTGTGAGTAGAAAAAAAAAGAAAACATGAGCACGTCTCAAAATTCGATTCAGTCGTCACACAATGGCGACAGGAATTCAGGAGACCCCTTTCTAAAAAATTCAGATGACGACCCCTGTGAAGTTGAAGGTTCAGAATACGTGACAACAAAACATGACACGAAACTCAATCCGGAGATTCTGAAAATGCCCAAAAGTGGAATTTAAAAAATCAGAAAAGATAGTTTTTTGGAAGTTTCTAGTTTTGAGAATTACTTTTCCAATGATTTTACAAAACCAAAAAAGTTTTGACACTAAAAAGAACTGACCTTGGGTTTCTAAGGCAACGTTACTCGCCACTAGGTCAATCGAGAGCGGGCGCGTCTCGCCAGGCTTACAGCCTGTGAGGGCAGCGCCGCAGAGTCTAGTGGCTAGTATGGATGACTATGAATCAGAAGGTCCCGAGTTCGAAACTTTCGAAAGCAAAACTTTTATGGCCTTTTTGTTGGTTATAGTGAACTAAAATTTACAGTTTGAAATCAAGTTTGAAATTTGAAATTAAACCTTTAGTTCTCAAAAATGCTGAATGGAAAAAGACTTCTAAACAAAAAACTTAAGATCTTCGATTTTAGACAACTTCCGGGACCCGACGAATCATGCAAAAAACGGAAAAGCTATTAAAATATTCATATCGAAAAAAAAATACTTTGTGTGACAATAGCAAAACCGCGAATTCTATTATTCAAAGCTTTTAAAAAAAGTTTTTGGGTGAAAAAAGTTCAGAACAACCAAGATTCGCAAACACTTACAATTTATAGGAAGCTTTTTCTTCAAATTCTCGCGTAAACATCCAGCAAGCAAGCTGACCTGAACTTGAAAATTTCGAGATAGCAAAGGTGCCCGAGATAAGGATCTCCAGCACAGGAAAAAAGCCCAAACTCAGAAGAGCCTCAATTTATTTTATCAAAGTTCAAAAATCAGTTTCTATCGAGAGTCAACATCGTTCTAATTACCCATTCGGTGATAATGGACGTAAATTGCAGTGATCAGAATGGAAAACCACCGATTAACACGTGGGTTTGACAGAAACATAGGCAAAAAATTTTTGACCCGAAAAGGATTCGAACCGGATACCTTCAAATTCAAAGTCAACACTGCTGACCACTAAGCTGTCGCTGCACCCTATTTTTTATGACCGATACTTTATTGCAATTGTACTTTAATTTTGTTTATTGATCAGGTGTAATAAAACATTAGAGGGCAGGACATGAAAGACTCAGAAAAAATGCCCCTCACGAGGCCGATCTGAGTAGGGGAGGGGAAACGGGATAATTTAGATATTTGACAAGGAAAGATGTAACCGGTAGAAAAAGAAAAATAGGGAGCAAATATATCAATAACGGGTAATACTGGAAGAAATTAAGGATGCAAACTCGGAAGGTAGGAGAAATCGGGTAACTTGGGAAGTGATGGCGTTCCAGGAAGTGATGGCGTTCCACGAAGTACTTTCTCCCTAAAACACTCTAAAACTCAAGAAAATAACAATCTTCAAAAAAAAATTTCAGTTCTGCCGAAGACCACCGAGACGCCAAAGAGAAAAACGAGTTGCCGCCAATTCTGCGTCCGAAATTCTCGAAATATAGTCATCGACGACGTCGTAACAAAAATAAGTCAACTTCGAAGGAAACCTCAAAAGAAACATCTCGAGAACAATCGAAAGATGATGATACTACGGCTACAGTAGAGTTCAAGCACGACGGGATGGATAAGAATTCAGAAGACAAAGATGATGAGAAACCGTCAGCTGAGAAGGCAGACAAACGATCAAAAGAGAAATTGGAACCAGAGGATGGTGGAAATCGGGAAACACGGAATGAGAGGGAGCGAGAACAAAGGGAGCGGGAAACTGAAGAACCAGAGTGTCGAGAATCTAAAATTAGAATTATAACTGTGGAACCTGTTGGAAGTGACCCGGATTTTCGAAAACTCACAACACCTACAGTAGTCAATCAGGATGATAAAAGTGATGAAAAGAAGAAAAAGAAGGCAGATAAGGCGGATTCATTAGATGAGGGAGAAAAGAAAAGGTCAAAAGAGTCGAAGAATCCATCAAGAAGAAAAAGGTCTGCTGATCAGAAGGTGAAGAGGAATAGTGGAAGAAAACAGCCGTCGGAAGAAAGGAAACGGAGAAAACGGGCACCAAACCTTTCGGTAAGCAGATTTTTTAAAACCTCTTTCTAGTTATCCAAGGGTTCTCGAAAAATCAAAATTTTCTGAGTTTTCAGAAAGAAAGTTTTAATCAAAGTCCCCGCGCCTCCCTTGCTATTCCACTGAAACAAAATTCCAACGAAAATGTTGTCCAGAAAAAATCGAAAATCCCCGCCAACAAAATTTCGGATTCGGCTTCAAAAGTTCAGCCAATTGCTAAAAATCAGCAAGCGCCACCACCCAAGAAGAAATCATTTTTCAAGTCCATTTTCGCTAAGACCAAATTCTGGATGCGTAAATCTGATGACGTCGCACAGCCGTAAGTCTGTCTTCATAGATATCCAGATGTCCCGAAATTTTCAAAACCAAAGAAATGTTGTTCAAGTCATATGTCAATCCGGAATACGATATGAACAATCCTGCTGACTTTGTTCCCGATCCCAGACCTCTCTTCTCGAAAATCGATTGGGAACTTCGTCTGAGAAATTCGAGATGCGAACCTGATTTGGTTTTTATCAATAACCGTCCATTCTGGATTCATCGAACAAATGATGATGTGATTCCGAAGGTTAAGCTTCTCGGTTTCAATGGATTAGTTGCTCAGCATGAACAAACAAATGGAACATGCTATCTGAAAGTACGTCACATTGTTTTTTGATTTAGGATCGAATTTAAAATTTTCAGGAACTCCCAAAACGAATGTTCTATGATCCCAAAAAAGCGCCTATTGAAAAATTGATTGCTATGGATAAGATGATTGGTGTGGATCCGACAGACCCCAACAAGGAGAAGGAATTGCAGAGAGTCACATCGAATACGTTTTTTGGGACATGTCATATGCAGGGGTATAGGATCAGTGTGGAGGGAAAGAAGAAATTGGTAAGAACTTTCAAAATGCTCTAGTTTATAGTAGCGACGGCTATGGATCTGATGGTCTTGAACCCTCAAATTTTCTAGAAACTTTTTTTCCACTAAAAAATTTAATTTTTCAGGAAGAATTCGAAGCTAAATACGCAAAAGAGGCTCAACAAACCAACGATGAAATAAAAAAATCGGGATGTGGAGCTCCAAAAGTGACCTTTCAGCTATCGATCACCCCGCCACCGAGTGTTATTCACCAGCCTAAAGATCCGAGTATCGCCGAAAAAAGCCTACGTGGAAGTCACCCACAAATGGCTACATATAACAGGTACATCGGAGCAAACGTGTATTTTTCCGATTTTCAAAATAAGTTTCAGAAAAGAGCGTCCAACCCCAGGATCCAGTCGTGTGTTTGTAGCTCGTGACATGGTTCTAGACATTACTAAAAAACAGTCGAAAATGCAACTTTCCGCATCACCATCTCCAGATTCTCCGAATTTTCCGATCGCCAAAAAAGTGAACTAAAATAATTTTTTCTTCCATCCCCCATATTTTCGTATGACTCCTTCCCTGATAATAAAAATTTATTTTCCTTTTAAAATTTGTCATAAATAATCTGACTTGTTTTTTTTCCACTTGACCTGGATTCGGATTTTCAGATTTTCGGATTCCTGTGTGCGTCAATCGAAGTTTGCAAATAGAAAAAATTGAATCATTTTCATTTGATCTGGGCCTGAGCCAACACTTGATCTGGATTTTAAATTACGACCCGAAAAAAATTTCAGATTTTCAGATTTTTTTAATTTCTTTGTGCGTCAACCGAGGTTTGCAAATAGAGAAAAAACAAACTTTTTTTTGTTTGATCTGGATTCCAATAAGCATTTGATCTGGAATTTGGATTACGACCCGAAAACAATTTCAGATTTTCGTCTCGTGCGTCAATGGCAGACTTAGAAGCACGGATTTTGAAAAAAAGAAGATTGAAAACGTTTTATTTTGATTTGATGTGTTTTTTGGATTTTCAGAGGATTTCAAAAAGATTTGCAACAATGATCTGGATACTTGCGATGAACTGAAACGCTGAAAATCTGAAAAAGAATTAAAATCTGAAATTTTACTTGCGACCAGGCCTTTGCCGGGCCTTCGCGGGATTTGCCATAGTATCTTTCAGAATCAATATTTTTAGCTCAACTCAATTTGATATGATAGAACTCTGCAAGTTCTACAAAATGATATTACCGTAAAACCTGTATTAGAAGGGCCCCTGAAATTGAAGGGCCCCTCTAATTGAAGTGCCCCCCTAGAGAGCTCACGAAAAATAGAAGTGCCCCCTCTATTTGAAGGGCCCCTCTATTTGAAGTACCCCCTCTAATTGAAGTGTCTCTTTGACTACTACTTCCTTTGATTTTCAGCCGTTTTTTTCTATTGTTTTGATTGAATTACTGTCTGATTTGAAAAAATACTGGCACCTGAAAATTTGAATGCCGTTGCTCTAATACAGATGTTTTTCTCGTTTGAGCAATTTTCGCAATCAAGCTCAGAGTTTTAGATTTAGAAAATTCTAGAAATTCTAGCAATCAAAATGTTATCAAGAAATCTGAATTTTGATCAGAAAATCCAACTAAATTCAAAGAAATTAATTTCGTTTGATATAATGGCGGATTCAAGGACGAGGCCTCACGAACGGCGCCCGAGAAATTTTAAGGTGCCAGTTTTTAAAAATTTAGCAATATTGGTGGTTTTGCTTTTTTACTGTAGAAATTGTAATGGATTTTTAGTAGAAAAACGAAATTTTCACTGAAAAATGATGTCCCTCCAATAGAAGATCCGTTTTCAGAGGACCCACGAAAAATACAACTGCCCCCTCTAATTGAAGGGCCCCTCTAATTGGAGTGCCCCCCTAGGGACCCCACGAAAAATAGAAGGGCCAAGTATTATATATTTGTAGAACTCGCAGAGTTCTATCTTATCTAAGTTAGTTGATCTGAAAATAATGTTTCAGAAAGAAACTATGGCGAGGCCTGCGAAGGGCCCGGCAAAAGCCCGGTCCGAAGTATGATCAGAAGGTCCTGGTTAGACTCTTCCTCTGTCCTATTATATTTTTCAAAATATCTGTGTTCACTCTAGATCCATTTGAAATGTTTTGAACTTCTTTTTTGTCGATTTTCCAATTTCAAGCTCATATAGTTTATTTTGTATTATCAATATAATTGCACAATTAATTAAGTAATCAAGCAAGAGCAAAATAAAAAGAAGCACTGAGAAATTGAGGGAGGAAAAGAGACACAAGACTGATAGAATACTTCGAAAATTTAGACAAAAATTGATTTCAAAATTTGTTTAATTTCATGAGGAGGAAAAATAGAGGACAGGAGCCCGTTGGGGTTTTCAACAAACTGGGTTCGAGGGTGAGGATGTGAAGAAAATAAATTATATTTTGCTACATATGAGAAAATTTTCGAAATGCTATTCCCAAAAGAATGGACACAGGATTTCAGGAATCTATATACAGTATACATTTTGAATTGGGTAGAAAAAAGGAAATAAAGCTCGGATGTATGGAATTTTTGTTTTGAGGGGGATTGCTAGATTGCAAAATTTCTTTCAAGAAGTTGTTTTATGGATTTGTGATGATTGTGCAGTTGATGAGAGCGTTGAGGAAGTTGGTGACTTCTACTGGGTTATCCAACTTAGCAGATTGAAGGAAACGCACAGATTCGGTCTGACAGTTTACCATTAAAAATTGCAAAAGTTCAAAATCTGGAGTCTCCGGATGTTTCCGAATTCAAAGGTTACTTTTACTCACCTGGCACTTGAGAAGCTTCTCCTGAAACATTGCATTATGCTCCCGTAGTGCTGCAGCTTGCTGCTTAAGCTTGCAGACAGTCTGTTGAAGTCCTTCCATCTGAGCAATCGACTCCAACCGTTCCTGACACATCATAGTCATCTGTGAATGGATGATACTGCACTGAGCATCAGCCACAGATGCTCTAGTCTTGTGTACGTGGCAATCAAAACACTCATGACGTGGACTGATTCTAGATGATGACGATGAAGACGATGGGGATGAGGTATCTATGATTGGAGAGGAAATCAGGGTCCGATCAGAGCTGAGTTGATGGAAAGCGCTGTGATCAGATTTAAAGGAGCATGTTGGGAATTGAGAAATGTAGACTTCTTTCTCCTCCTTTTTCGGAGAATCGGCAATGAACATTGGAACGGTTGCTGTAAAGAATTTCATAGAATACTGAAAATTTAGATTTCTCGAAACTCACTAGGAATCGGTTTTGGTAGTGCTGACAACCAAGATGGGGTCTCTGGAGGAGTCTGGAATGCAGATGGAGACTGGAGGGGAAGGGTGCCAATTGGAAGAGATGGAATAGTGGCATCCGGACTTTTAAGATTGAGTAATGGACTTCGGATGACTGAAATTAAAATTGTTAATCTAAAAGTCTTCTTTAGTGAAACGACGTACGTTGAAATGAATCCGAAATGCCGTGACAGCTTCTATTGATCACTGAATGTGGGATAACATCGAGGTTATTGTTATTGTTTCCTGATTGGAGGTGGATATGGAGAAGTGACTTGTCAGGAAAGGCCCAATTGCAGCAACGGCACATGTACATTCGGGAAATGTGATGTTGTTTGAACATGTGAGCACGGAGAGACTCGCTGCCTGGAAAATTATAAGTTTGGGAATGGGATATGTGTTCCTTGGTACTTTCAGATCCTGAGCCAACGCTACTAATCATTAGGTGATCTAGGCGCCTTTTAGTGGTGTTTGAAAAAAAGCGTTTTGTATTGCCACCTAGTAAGCTGAGCAAATCTTAGTTCAATTCTTCCCAATGTGGTGCTCTTTGATCTTCTGTCTATTGGTTTTTTTGTTTCCCCAAAAAAACACTCATCAATTTTCGTCTTCTTCCTATTACCCCATCATCCCCATTGCGCAACCTCATTTCTCGAAATCCCCGTAGAAGAAAAGTGAGAATTTTCTCCTTCTCCACGGCGCTTCTTCTTCTTCTTCACGCCGAAAAAAGATTCATTGTCTCCGGATGACCTCAATGCGCCACTGAAGTTGTTGTCTGCTGTCCGGAGAGGAAGCGGAGGGTGTGTGTGTGTTTGTGCGGAAGAAAGAAGAAGAAACAGTAGTGAAATTGAAGGAATCGAGATCAAGAGAATCGGTAAACAACCATCCCTTATTATTTATGCTTAATGAAACTTCTATGAACAGTGTGTGAACAACAACAACAACCTGAGAAACAGGAGGAACAGGTTTTATGGAGGAGAACGGTCTTAAAAATGGATCCCGAGAGATTTTAGATAGTGCAGAGGGGAAAGTACAGAAATCAACAGGCATTGGGAGTAGTGGGGAATTCAACTCGGGACCGTGGTAGTGGAGCTAATTACGACTAGGCTGTTCGGGCGCGGGCGCCAAAGCGTCATCCACACCTTTTTAAAATCCATGATAGTCTAATGGCTAGTGAGGTTGGCAATAGATCTGAAGGTACTAGGTTCAGTTCTTTACAAGTCCCAATCTCCTTTTGCAATTGTGTGTTCGCTTAGAAACTATCTTAAATTGGGAAGTTGAAAAGAATACGTGATTTTTCGAACTTTTTCAGATTCAACATTCTGATTCATGTCCCTCGGATTATCCCAAAGTTATATGCTTCTATTTCAGCTCATGATCTAGTGATCGTACAACCCTTTTTTTTTCTTTCCAGATCCTCCTCGTTTCCTTATCCTTCCAGCAGATCACTCTCATTCAGACACTCAGGGGATAATCACAATATGTTTTTCTTAAATCCCAAAAAAATCTGTTCCCAATAAGTCAGTCAACTTGAAAGATCACCCACAGAAAAGCCGGATTTTCTTGCATAACTCACTGGAAATGTCTTTGCGGCATACTGTACATTTGTAGCTTTTGAAATGGGCTTGCATACGATGACGAGAAAGGCTGGAGGAGTGGCAGAAGATTTTGGAGCAGATTGAGCAACGGAATTGACCTGAAAAATGATTTGAATTGGAATAAAGAGATTCATAGGATGCGCTAGACGATTCTAGACGATTTGAAAGAGTCCTAGGAGGAAAGTACCATTGCAAAAACATATTCAAAATGCTGCCAATAGCACAGTGGTCTAGTGGTTAGTAGCGTTGGCTACTAATCTAGAGGACCTGGGTTCGAATCTTTTCCCTTACTAATATCTTTTTAGATTTTTGCTTCTCCCCTCGAAGTGCCTAAAACTGCTCAAATCGCTCTCTAAACTCGCTTTCCATAGAAACTCACCTTTTAAATCGGGTCTTTTCAACTCTCCACTCTTTCCAGATCCTTGACTCTCATTTCCAGAGTGCATCTCATCTCCACTACCGTAACCCTCCTCTTCAGTGTTGGTTGGCGAGAGCACTTTGCTCTCGCTGGTGTCTTCGACTTTTATGCAGATTGTGTCAAGATGCATTCTTGAGGAATCTGAAAGAAAAAGAAGAATGAGGAAGTGGGAGGCAAGAAAAAAAGATGAAAGAAGAAGAAGCCACCAGAGCGATGTGTGAGCAGCAGGAGCAGCAGAAGCACGAACGCTGGGGGTTTAAGAAAAATGAAAAAAAGAGCAAAAAAAGAGAGCCATTATTATGACGAAACACTGAGCGGGATGGAATAGAAAAAACGATGCAGCGAAAAGTAATAAAAGTTTAGCCCTTTATGACGTGGCAAAGTTTTATAGGTTTGAAGGAATTCAAAGATCTAGAATTGTCTTCTGGTAGAAAAAATCTAGATCTCTGAGAAGAATTATTGGCATGTGTCTCAAGGGCTCTGAAAATCTGAAAATCTGAAAATACCGAAATCTTTTGGGGTGATATGACTGGATTATCCGATGGCAATATCTAGATCAGTGACGCCAGGATTGTTTTATTTTTGGAAATGAAATGGGACAGAATCCGCAGAAAAAGAATGTGTAAATCTTTAAGACAAAATCCAGATCATGGAGAAAGAGGAGAAAATATAGTGAATCATTTGAACGAGAAAAAAATTTTGAGCTGCAAAAGAAAAGTTTTTCGGAAAGAATGGATAATGGAAGATAAGATGGTGGGATGATTGGGAGATGAAGTTGAAAATGAGAAAAAAAAACAAAAATTTTGCTGAGCATGAAAGGAAGAGGCGGTGCTTAAACCAGTACAGGACTTGAACTTTGTCTTATCAGCTTATGGGAGTACATCTAGAGAATTGAAGGAAAGAAAGCACACTTTCAGAGGATACTCTGGGATTATGGTATGTTGAAAACATTCGGATAGCAGAAGCACAAAAGAAGATTTTCGGGGAGGAACCCCAGAACTTCAGATCGATAGCCAAACCATCAGACCATCCAGGATCGGGTCTACCGACGCAGCTAGAGAGGATAACGTCTTACCGGCAGCCATCCAAGGCATCCGAGCTCGGATGACTTAGTGGGTAGTAGTTTTTGGCTACAGATTTAAAGGTCCAGGTAGTACAAAAAGTGGTTTTTGACGATTTCCATAGGAACTCACATGGAATGAATCCATTGACCTACCGCTAATTATAATAAGCATGGCGCGGGGGTTAAGATGTTGCATCTCTTCTGACATCTGAACTATCCTCCCGCCTCCAATTTTCTACTGACAAGGTCATTTCTCTTAATGTTTTCTTCATCTTCTTCTCATTTCTTCCCGCTAATTATCCTCTTTTCTCTCCTCCTCCCCATCATCCTTTTCTCACAACACCGTCCGTTTTCTTGGCTAGGCCTCATGGCGATTTGCGGCAAAACGGAGCGGTGAAGAATAAGAAGAAGAAGAAGACGATGAAGAAAGTGTCAATAGGCAAAGACTAGGTCAAATCGGAAAATCGGAGAGTTAAAGAGTATGTTGAATTGAGAGAAGCATAGAGACTTGGGATGACGTAAGGATTTTGATTTCAGGGGGGTGCATAGGAAGGAAGGGCTGAGGAAGCTAAGTGTGAGATGAAGTGGAAAGAAAATTTTGGAAGGTTTTTTTTTAGCTTGAGGAAAGAGCAAAATTGTTCAAAAGTCAAACTTCAGAATAGACTGCTACAGTCTTCCAAACAGTTCCCACTTTCAAAATATACTGACTCTCAAAAAGTATTGAGCCGAGGACCTTCAAATACGTAGCCAACGCTACCATCTACAAAGCCGTTCATCCGTCGGCTCCATGGCGGCTCTAGAGCGTAAGCGGGAGTCCAAGTCCACTATGCCGCCACCTCGCTTATCACAGTAACCTAGAACGTCGAAGTGCTTGCGCCCGGATAGACTAGAGCTTGGTAGCGTTACCTGAAGATTCCAACGAAGCATTAATAGACTTTTAAGGGCGTGCCCTCACTATAAAATGCTTTTGGAGCGCCTAGAAACTCATTTTGAGCTATAAATGATTCTAATGGTGTGTTGTCCCATGGAAACTTTCTAAAACCTTAGAATTTGTTTCAACTCACCTCTCACTGAACACAATTGCATAATAAGAAGCAAAATGGAAGAGTGGAGCTCTTAGGGCGGATATGAATGGATATAGCCCCTCCCTTTCCTTCTCTCTTTATCCAAGACAACGGATGATCCTCGTTTCAATTGGTTTTGAGCCGTCCCAGAATCCCTGGGATTTGGTGAGCACATAAGGCGATGAACGACATGAGACTCCGCCTTTTTCATGTGTTATTTGGGGGTGGAGCCTA